GTCTCCATGTCATCATGTCTCCCTGTCTCCATGTCATCATGTCTCCGTGTCTCCATGTCATCATGTCTCCATGTCATCATGTCTCTGTCTCCATGCCATCATGTCTCTGTGTCTCCATGCCATCATGTCTCTGTGTCTCCATGCCATCATGTCTCCATGCCATCATGTCTCTGTGTCTCCATGTCATCATGTCTCTGTGTCTCCATGTCATCATGTCTCCATGCCATCATGTCTCTGTGTCTCCATGTCATCATGTCTCTGTGTCTCCATGTCGTCCCGTCTCCCCTGATTGCTCCCAGGTGTCCCGTGTATTTAACCCCACCTGTGTCCCAGTGTCTCTTCAGTCCAGCGTCTCCTTTGGTTTGTGTCCTGCTGTCCTGAGTGTTTGGATTTTTGGTTTGTTGAAATCTTCATGAAATCATTTTCCTTCTACATTCCTGGTTTCACGGCGTCTTCCTCACCTTCCACTGCGCATATTGTGACAGACCTACTTTGTGTCAAAGGACATTTCAAATTAAGAGCCTCGTTGAAAACATGTTTATTCTTAACTGATTAAAAATGGATTCAGTTACGTTTATATCTGTTAGTGGAAGGAAATCAGATGATTTATTTCCTGCAATAATAACTCAGAAATAGTCCAAATTTGGACATATTTTTTAGTTCTTTCCTTCTTGGAAAGTTTCTGTTTGTATTAGAGGTTTTATTTCTATCTTAAAGAAAAAGATATAAAGCTTCAGATATTTCACATTGAGATATTAACATGTATGGAAAAAGCTGGTGAAAGTTTTCCGGTCCTGAAGCGATCAGGACGTTACGTCCCCATGTCCCCCACAGGCCTCCGTACTGAAGAAGCCCTTCTTTGTCCTGATGCTGCGTCTGCGCTACAATCCGTTCAGGCTGGAGCTGCTGACAGGTCAGAGGTCACGGGGCGGAGCTCCAGCAGAAGGGTCTCCAGGTTTATAACCGAGAGGGTTTTGGCTGCAGCATGCGGAAAGGGGCGGGGACGGACCACTGTCAGTCTCAGACCTTATATGGAAATGGGACTATTGCATTCCGGAAATGAAGGGGGCGCTATTTTCACAATCACTAATACCTTAAAGAAGCGGGGTGAAGATGTGGATTGGAAGAAGTTTGAGAGGTTTCGCCACTGACGTTCGGAACGCTATTCATAATGGAACAAGAACAAAGTCAGCAAAAGGTATTTTCTACCTTATTAAAACTTTTTTCACATAGTAAATCAATTTCTAGATTAGGTTGAAAATATAATTGACAGCTGCAAACGAGTGAAATTCGTAGTTCGTACAGGGGAAGGCTAATTTTAGCATGTAGCATAGCTAATTATTTCCGTGCAGGGCACCAGTCGAAAAGTAGAAAAATGTATTTTATGCCCCATTTTTTTTAATTTTCATTATACAGATGCTTTTATCAATTTGCAACATTGGGATCGGACAGAAAATTGTTCCCGTACTGTCTGAAGACAAATACCGCTGTCCCCTTTGCTCATACAGTGCGGAGGAGTCTTAAAGGTACAGAACCACATAGCAACAACTGCTATGGTTCAGCATAACGGTATGTAAAACTACACTTATGAATGTTTATTTTACATTCTTATCAGTTTTCTAGTGTTTTTATTTTATTTTTAAAGGTTAATATTTTTTAAATATGTTTTTGTACACCAATGTTACATTTCCTGAAAGTCTAATATTTTTTTTAGAAGCTAACAGCTTTTTTTATAAGCTAACAGCTTTTTTTAGAAGCTAAAAGCTTTTTTTATAAGCTAGCAGCTTTTTTATAAGCTAACAGCTTTTTTTTATAAGCTAACAGCTTTTTTTTTATAAGCTAAAAGCTTTTTTTATAAGCTAACAGCTTTTTTTTATAAGCTAAAAGCTTTTTTTATAAGCTAACAGCTTTTTTTTATAAGCTAACAGCTTTTTTTTATAAGCTAACAGCTTTTTTTATAAGCTAACAGCTTTTTTTTTTTATAAGCTAACATCTTTTTTTAGAAGCTAACAGCTTTTTTTAGAAGCTAACAGCTTTTTTTAGAAGCTAACAGCTGCCATCATAAGTGGGTGTAGAACCAGAGATGATACTGTAATGATGAGCAGCACTACAATGTATTTTTAGTAACTGTGCAGCAAACTACACATTTAAAAGTAACAAAGTATTTTGTGAAATGGCTATTATTAAGTACTGTTTTACTGATTATAATATTACCCATTTATTTCAGCAGACATTAATAAAAATGAAGTTATGTGCACTGTTAGGTATTTTAGTACAAGACAACAAATTAAGGGTTAGAAGAAACCTAACATAAACAACATTTATCAGTGTATCGTGTTTTAATTCTTTTATGGATTAAAATGTGATCTTCATTCAGTTAAGTTACTTGCATTATGTTGCATATCAACAAATTAACTCAAGAGTATAACATTTGGAAAAATGGTCCTAATTATTTTTTTATCAAAGTTACAGAGTAATTGAGTAAATCTGATTAGTTAATCTTGGCTGTTCATTTTGTGCAGAACATATATTTGTTATCTGGAAGCCATTGTGACTTCTAGAATTAATTGTTAAATCCTACAAAACAGTAACAACAATGTTAAAGAATCTGCAGTGATTAATTCAAACATGCCTTTTGTTCTACCAATCATTTGTATATTTCCTGGTGTGTAATAACCTTTTTCTTTTATCTTAGTAGCTATTAGGCTGAGTCCTCGCTCTGTTCTGAGTGAGAATGAATCACATCTTGTTTAAACATATCTGCAATGTATATAGATGTTTTTTAATTTTATTCATTTCTTTTTTTAAGATTCATTTATAATCATGTCATAGCCATTCTTCCAGTATAAGTCCTGCAATGCACCTGTTTTTTTTAATTATTATTATTTTCAGATGCCTTTGATTGCACTGGAAGCTGTTCTCCAGGAGGTGATACTGGCACATGGAGACACATCTTCCCTCACCTTGGCATTGACCTGCAAGTGCTTAGAAGCCATTGTGTCTGACCCAGTATTCAGGAAGAAGACTCACTTTGCTTGGCTAGATGGTAAGGACCTTTGACTTTTTCACCTAAAACATGTGAAATTAGATTTCAACTACATAAAATCAGTTTTTCATCAACAGGTGAGATCAGCTGGGTGACATTTTCAGACTCATGCAAGGCAGAAAACAGGATTCCTTTTGCGGTTGTAAGATGTTCTTCCTGCAACCGGCAACATAAAGACTGTGTGGGCTTCACTGGACATGGAAGATGAGGAGAGTTCCCTCGTTACTACTCTGATGGCACATCTGGACACTGCCCTGAATGCCAGTACTGAATGCTAGGACAATATTAGTTGTTTTCTGTAGTCTTTCACACATTTCAGTTGTCACACATTAGTTTTAGATCATTTATGCTGAAGCATATTTGCCTTTTGACTTGTTCAGTCATTCGTTTTCATGTGTTATTTCAATATTATGTACATTTTTGAATGTTCCTTTTGTTGTAGCTCAGTTGATTTACATTATTTAGTTTTTAAAGAAATGATGTTATATTGTGGCTGCATTTTGTTGGAGAGAGTAGAACCAATAAAGTAGTTGCAAATATATTGTAACAGTGTTGTTTAGCAATTGGATCACCTTGTTTTAAAAATTTGTAATACATGCTAAGTTAATAACTTGCAATATTTTATATGTGTAAATGCAATGTTTCCTATACTTTTTAAACAATGACTGGAATCATTACAAATGTTCTTTACAAACCTGACATACGGCTAAGTTTGTTTAACAGTCAGAATCAACTGTTGTTTTATAATAAAGCAAGAACAAACAGAAACATTGTTTAGTTACAGAGTCATAATCCAAACATAAGACTAAAGGTGAGCTGAGTGAAGGTGGAGACCAGGTGGAGGTGATGGAGGCTCAGGTGAGGAGCAGTTGCACATCAAGCCGGAGTTTGTGAAGGACGGAGGAGATGAGACCGGCGCCGTGATCAGAGGAGACGGTTACAATTTACACATAGATTTAATTTATGTATCCAGTGAATTTATTCAAAAAGGTTTTCATAGAGAAAAAACCCAACAGCGAGTCATTCTCTCTGGCAGTTACCAGCGTAGTGTCTACTGCCAGGGTCCGAAGATTATTTCTTATCAAATGAACTTTCTAAAACCTGCTTTCTGTGAGTCTTTCCAGGTTGAAGCTACATTTAAAGTTTTAAATGAATCACTTTGGGTTTTGCAACAATTGCATATTTAAGGTCTTTGGGGAGCAGTTTATGAATCAATTGCAATTGGTAGAATTGATTTTGAATTTCTAAACAGAATAGTGGGACACCAATCAGTTTAGACATTATGGTAAACAATGATAATAGTCGAGCTTGTTAGAAGTTCTAAAGTCATTTGTTTGTAAATTATATTCACAATGTGAATAATAAGAAAAATACTTGGCAAATAACAGAACAAAAGTGTTCTGTGAATGGATGGACCAAGTTGGCAAAAACTGTTGACTAAATGTTTTACTGACCAAACCTCTTTTCCATTTAGTCCTTATTAAATAAGGCAAAGGATATTATATTTTTAGATTTTAACTTATTTATTTTAAGAGTACCATTCACAACATCAAAATCTATTATTTGAACTTCAACACCAGCAAGTATTTGTTTATCTGTTTTCTGCGTGGACTGGCGATCTGTCCAGGGTCCCTACAGCAGCTCTCATCACCCACTGCACGGATAACCTGAGAGTAAAATCATTGATGGATTGATAAATGTGTTCTTAATGTAGTGTACATTTGTCTCTAAAATGTTAATTTATGTTTTATGACTTTTGTTTGGGAAAGTTAGGGTGTAAGGATAGATAAATACATCTCCATAATGATTCCTTATTATTGCTTATTTTATGTTTGTTACTGATATAATTTAACATCCAAAACAAAGATTTAATAAAGATTTAAAAATAAAAAAGGGACATACGTGACGTAACACGTGGTATGTCATTTCCTTACTGTTTAATTTGTAGTTAATTGTAATTAATTTTAAATTTTAAAAGTGTTATTGGGTGTTTTTAAAGGCGTTGTCAAATAAAATGCGTTTATTATAATTATTAAAACACGACTGGTACAGGAAAAATGGTGTCACTAGCGCCCCCTTCATTTCCGGAATGCAATAGTCCCATTTCCATATAAGGTCTGAGACTGACAGTGGTCCGTCCCCGCCCCTTTCCGCAGGCTGCAGCCAGGTGTACTTGGGTTAAAGGGTTGTGTTTCAGGTGCAGCAGCGTTCTCTTCCTCTTCCTGTGCCCTCTGACCCCGTTCACAGGTCTCCGCCCTCCAGGGTTCTGGTCAGCAGGTCCAGGTCCCCCAGGCTGGCGGCCCGGTCCAGCTCGGGGTCGTCCATCATGGAGACGGCGATCCGCAGCGCAGCCCAGATGTTGGTGGACATCTGCAGCTGGCTGCGACGCTGGCTGCACCTCTGCTGGTTCAGAGCTGTGATGAAGTTACTGACAGCCTCCCTGCAGAACCAGAACCACAACCGGGTCATAAACAAGCTGTGGTCCCAGTAAGCGGGCTGCCGGGCCGGCGGTACCTGAGCGCGCCCAGGTTGATGCAGCTGATGCCCAGGTTGTATCGGGAGCGGATGAAGCCGGGCCGCAGCTCCAGCGCGCGGCTGTACGCCTCCACCGCCTCGGCGCTGCGGCTGCCGTTAGCCAGCGTCGCTCCCAGCCGGTTCCACAGCAGGTAGTCCTGAAGACAGACACAGGAAGTGAGGTCAACATGACATCAGCCTGCTGGGGCCCCACCAGAATCAGAACCGGCAGCGGTCTGATGTTACCTGCGGTCTGACGGACAGCGCGGCGCTGAACGCCTCCACCGCCCGATCAAACTCTGAGCTCAGGTTGTACAGAACTCCAAGTCCGGTCTGCAGGTCCGGATCCACGTTATCCACGTTCAGCTGCGCCGCTTCCTGGAAGAGCAGCAGAACTTCCTGCAGCGCCGAGCTGGAAGAAAAACATTGGTTTTATTCACACAGCGCCACCTGCTGCTTGCATTCGGAGTAACTTTTGACCCCGGCCAACCGGACTCCTCCAGGCCGTCACGCTGACATCCTGCTCAGGTGTTTCGTTACCTCGCAGGTGCGGAGCAGCCGGGGCCCCTGCGTGGTGTGGCTGGGGAACCCTGTAGCGGACTCCAGCTCTGCACCAGGTGTCGATATCTGTGGTTGTGGCCGATCCAGCGGCGCAGAGCGTCGCAGGCCTCCGGCACCTGGCTGCTGTTGGTGAGGCTGGCCGCGAGCGCCATGAGGGCCGGCAGGTTGTTGGGGCGGAGCTCCAGACACCTGCAACAGGTGAGCAGGCAGAGACCTTTGTCAGAGCTGAACAGATCAGGTAGACAAGAAGCTGGTCTGACCTCTGCAGCGAGGCGATGGCGGCCTGTTCGTTCTCATTCTCAGCCTGAGTCCCCAGCATCTGCCACGCCTGCAACAGGAAATGGTCACCGGTGAGCGTCGATGGTCAGAGACTGGACCGCGACAGAACCCAACTAACGGGTCACCTCGGTCACTGGGGTCCTGCAAGATGGCGGCCTCCAGCAGCAGGACGGCGGCGTTCAGGTCTCCCTCTCCTGCTTTCTCCTGACCCTCAGCGAAGGCGTTGGGCCAGTCAAGGTACGGGTTGGTGGCGCTGAAGAAGTAACCCTGCAGAACCACAGAGGTCAACAGGAAGTACCGCCCTGCAGAACCACAGAGGTCAACAGGAAGTACCGCCCTGCAGAACCACAGAGGTCAACAGGAAGTACCGCCTTGTGGGGGTACTTCCTGTATGACCCCATCAAAACCAGCCTCTGTCCTCCTGATGTTGCAAAATGAAAGTTTTATTGTGAAACATTTGCAGGATGTTGGCATGGTGACGTAACCCTGAGCCACAGGGGATTAGGGGATTAGAGCCGCTGGCCTTCTGGATGAAAGCTGCTGCATTAAAGCTGCAGATTAACTCTAGATCACAGCAGTGATGCATGCTGGGAAGCTGCAGGAGCAAACAAGGTGACATCATCAGGGCGTTACCTTCTCCACAGGTGAGACGGGGGGCGGGGCCGGCTTCTGCTGGCTCTCCGCCTCCTCCAGCCAGTTCCTGCGAGCAAGCTCCTCCCACTCCGCCTGCATCTTGTCCCAGAACTCTGTGTCCGACTGCAACAGAACCCGACCAGAACCAGATCAGTACCAGACCAGAACCCGATTCAAACCAGACAAGAAGCCGATCAGAACCCAATCAGAACCCTGCCGGTCGTCTCCTCATGCAAAACATTACAGTGAGCCGGTTCCTCCAAGCGGCTGAACTGCGCCACCCTGTGGTCACACTGGTCCCTGCAGGACCCTGGTTCAATATAAGGGGTCTCCGCCCCAGTCCTCAGGGCTCCTGTCCTCCATGAGACGTTTCCCTGCAGGAGGACATGATGTCATCACTGGAGTTGCGGGCCCTGAGCACCAGGGTGGGAGACCCCTCAGGTCTGAGCTCAGACCTCTGACCGACCTTCTCGGATCAGAACCAACAGAACCGCCGACTCAGCAGATGGGGATCTGATCTTCTCCAATTTCAGTCAGGAGGAAACTGAGAACAGGAAGGTTTGGTCAATCCGGTCAGAACCCGACACCTCCCTCTTTCACCGATCTGTTTCTCTGGGTTCAAGGTTTGCTGATGCCTCACCGGATACCCTGGGAACAGTCAGAACCTAGTCAGGTCCAAATCAGGTTCTGGCCCAACAGGAAACCATTAGCAGGAAGTTCTGGTTCCAGCAAAGCTCCAGCTGACCAATCAAGAGCTTTGAGCCAGAGCAGTGCTGTGATTGGTCCACTGAGGCATCTCTACCTCTCCTCCTCACCAGAACCGCAACAGAACCAGAACCAGGCACAGGTCTCAGAACCTCATCAGAATAATGGACTCTACCGGACCAGAACCTGGAGGTGCAGATATCGGCCTCCAGGTGGCGCTGTGGTTCTGGTCCGGTTCTAGAATGATAACCCACAAGTTCTGGTTCTGATCTGAGCTCTGCCTGTCCATCTGCTGAGAGGAAGTTGCTGGAGGGACACTTCCTTTCACAGGTCAAGAACAGACAGGTCGTTCGGGGGCAGACAGGTCATTCGGGGGCAGAGGGGTCGTTCGGGGGCAGACAGGTCATTCGGGGGCAGACGGGTCGTTCGGGGGCAGACGGGTCGTTCGGGGGCAGAGGGGTCATTCGGGGGCAGACGGGTCGTTCGGGGGCAGACGGGTCGTTCGGGGGCAGAGGGGTCATTCGGGGGCAGACGGGTCATTCGGGGGCAGACGGGTCGTTCGGGGGCAGAGGGGTCATTCGGGGGCAGACGGGTCGTTCGGGGCAGATGGGTCAGCTCACACAGCAGGTGAGTTACCTCTACAGCCGCCTTTGCGCGGACGAACTCGTCCTCCAGGGACTCGTTCTTGGCCAGCAGAGAGCGAGTCCGTCTGCGGAGTCTGGACACGCTGCTGTCCTGCAAGAGACGGAGACAGAGGTTGTCCAGCAGCTGACCAGTCAAAGTAAACACACAGTCTGCTGGTCTCAGGTGTTGCTGGGACACCCACCGGGTGACCATGGCAACAGGACGCCCCTAGCATGTAGTGATTGGGGTGATGTCAATGGATGGATGCTGGACAGACCGATGATTGGATAATGTCAGCCAATCGTGGAACCCACAATTGTTCAGCTGGTACCGGCCTGGTACCAAGCTAACCCGGTACTGAGTCAGCCCCGGTTCCTGTGGAGAATCTAGTGGCACTGACCTGGTTCAGAGATATAAAGTCCAGATTGTCCAAGCTGCTCTTCATCAGAGCATCTGTCCTAAACTCTGCAGACCTGGAGACACACAGACAACCTTCAATCCACATGGCTGCAGGGAAAAACAGGAAGATCAAGCAAAACATTTATGTTAGCGTTAGCAACATAACGTTTACCGTCATGTTAGCGTTAGCAACATAATGTTTACCGTCATGTTAGCGTTAGCAACATAAACGTTTACCGTCATGTTAGCGTTAGCAACATAATGTTTACCGTCATGTTAGCGTTAGCTACATAACGTTTACCGTCATGTTAGCGTTAGCTACACAGAACATTTACTGAAATGTTAGCATTAGCTACACAGAACGTTTCCCGTCATGTTAGCGTCAGCTACACAGAACATTTACCGAAATGTTAGCATTAGCTACACAGAACGTTTCCCGTCATGTTAGCGTCAGCTACACAGAACATTTACCGAAATGTTAGCATTAGCTACACATAACGTTTCCCGTCATGTTAGCGTTAGCTACACAGAACATTTACCGAAATGTTAGCATTAGCTACACAGAACGTTTCTCGTCATGTTAGCGTCAGCTACACAGAACATTTACCGAAATGTTAGCATTAGCTACACATAAACGTTTCCCGTCATGTTAGCGTTAGCTACACAGAACATTTACCGAAATGTTAGCATTAGCTACACAGAACGTTTCTCGTCATGTTAGCGTCAGCTACACAGAACATTTACCGAAATGTTAGCATTAGCTACACATAACGTTTCCCGTCATGTTAGCGTTAGCTACACAGAACATTTACCGAAATGTTAGCATTAGCTACACAGAACGTTTACTAAAATGCTAGCGTTAGCTACACAAAACGTTTCCCGTCATGTTAGCGTTAGCTACAGAGAACCTTTTCCCTCATGTTAGCTGTAGCAACACTGTTGATGCTAGAAAACAGCAGAAACACAAAGGAACAGCATGGAGCTGACAGAAAACATGTTAGCTGAAATTATTCCGATTACTTCTTCTCTAGAACCTCTTTGCAGGTCTCTATTGATGAAAGCAGCTCAGCGTTGGCAGTCCCCATAGTTACTGCCTCCCGCAGGCTGCCGCAGGAACTACAGGTTGGCTCTACTGCCCCCCGCAGGCTGCCGCAGGAACTACAGGTTGGCTCTACTGCCCCCCGCAGGCTGCCGCAGGAACTACAGGTTGGCTCTACTGCCCCCCGCAGGCTGCCGCAGGAACTACAGGTTGGCTCTACTACCCCCCGCAGGCTGCCGCAGGAACTACAGGTTGGATCTACTGCCCCCCGCAGGCTGCTGCTGGAACTACCGGTTGGCTCTACTGCCCCCCGCAGGCTGCCGCTGGAACTACAGGTTGGCTCTACTGCCCCCCGCAGGCTGCTGCTGGAACTACAGGTTGGCTCTACTGCCCCCCGCAGGCTGCTGCTGGAACTACCGGTTGGCTCTACTGCCCCGCAGGCTGCTGCTGGAATTAACAAGCTTCCTGTAAATAAATCTGAGGATCATCAGCAGAGTGGAATATCTGAGTCTGAGCTGTAAGAAAACCGGACCGAACCAGAACCCAGACAAGAACCGGCCGGACGGGTCTGGCTTGAGGCGGGTCCATTACCATAGCAACTCGCTGGAGGAGTGGTGGGAGGAGCATCTGGCCCGGCAGCGTCTGCGCCGTCCCCCGTCTTCCAGGTCCAACTCGCCCCACTTGTCCAGAGGAGAGGACAGGCTGACTGGAAACACAAGCAGAGAGAACTGATCCTGACCTCTGACCTCACCGTGATCCGTGAGCTAAAACAGGAAGTTCTCATCAAAGTAAAAGCTCAGATTAAGGCGTCGTCATGACGACCGGCTGACCTCAAAGCTTTTAACCAAAGAAGCTGCTGAGTCTGGACAGAACCAGAACCAGAACCAGAACCTCCAGCTGAGTCTGGACAGAACCAGAACCAGAACCAGAACCTCCAGCTGAGTCTGGACAGAACCAGAACCAGAACCAGAACCTCCAGCTGAGTCTGGACAGAACCAGAACCAGAACCAGAACCTCCAGCTGAGTCTGGACAGAACCAGAACCAGAACCAGAACCTCCAGCTGAGTCTGGACAGAACCAGAACCAGAACCAGAACCTCCAGCTGAGTCTGGACAGAACCAGTTCCAGAACCTCCATGATGCTCTCTGCAGAACCTCTGAGGTCCATCAGAACCAGAACTCCTGGGTTCTCATGGACTGCAGAGGGAACCCGTCTGCTATTGGGAGCTGAACCAGAACTGGTTTGGACCCGGTACCGGCCTATCTTACCCGAGTCCAGGGACGTCCTGTCGGGGGTTCCGGGTCCGGCAGGCCGGCGCTTCAGCTGGAGTGGGACCAGCTCCGTCTCCTCAGTTCTGGTTCTAGTTCTGTGCCTGGGGCTCCTGGAGCCAACCGTCCTCCTCACTGGACTCTCGGTGACCCGGTGGTACCGGGTCTCTGCCGGGTCGCTCAGGTCCACCAGGTCCAGAGCCGTGGATAGAACTGGAGCAAGACAGACAGGTCACCGGGTCAGAACTGGGTCAGAACAGAACCAGGTCAGTGCTGCTCTGGTCCAGTTCTGGTCTTACAGGGAAACATGATCCGGCCTGACCCACAGCAGGTCAGAGGTCATTAGCAAAGCGGTTCCTGCTGACTGTACCTGCGGGGTTGGAGGTCGGGGGTCGTCCGGAGGCGGCCTCGCTGCGGCTCTCTGCCAGGAAGTCATCGATGGAGGGGCTCAGCAGGGGGCGGCTCTCCTGCAGCAGGCAAACAGAGCGCTCAGCTCGACCTCTGACCTTCAGCGAGTTCAGACTCACTGCAGCCTGAACTGAATTTGATTAGACACACCTCCTGAATCAATGTGACCTGAGTCTGAGCCACCAGGTGGCGCTCTGACCCTCAGTGATTTGCCCAAACAAGAAAGTGCTGCCATGGCAACCATAAGGAGCCCTGGCACATTAGCGTCCATGTTTACTCCCACTGAGCATGCTCAGTAGGCGACATCACAGCGCCCTCTGCAGCAGGGACAGCAGATCACAACCATCAGAAAAGAAACAAAAAAAGAAGTCAATTCTGTAGAGGGAACGTAGCCTTGGTCTGGTCCTGGTTCTGGTTCTGGTTCTGGTTCTGGTCCTGGTCCTGGTCCTGGTTCTGGTTCTGGTCCTGGTCCTGGTTCTGGTCCTGGTCCTGGTCCTGGTCCTGGTTCTGGTCCTGGTCCTGGTCCTGGTCCTGGTTCTGGTCCTGGTCCTGGTCCTGGTTCTGGTTCTGGTCCTGGTCCTGGTCCTGGTCCTGGTTCTGGTCCTGGTTCTGGTCCTGGTCCTGGTCCTGGTCCTGGTCCTGGTTCTGGTCCTGGTCCTGGTCCTGGTCCTGGTTCTGGTCCTGGTTCTGGTTCTGGTCCTGGTCCTGGTCCTGGTCCTGGCTGGACTTTAACAGGTAGTCTTGACATCATCCTTCAGCGGACAAACGATTTTGGGAACAACAGAAGGAAGCTTCAGGAGGAAGAGGAGCAGCTGGGACTCTGCAGAGTGATGAAGAGTGTTTAACGTTTTCTCACTGTTTCAGGATCGACTGCCTATGAAGTCGGTGGCTGTGTGTGTGTGTGTGTGTGTGTGTGTGGTGTGTGTGTGTGTGTGTGTGTGTGTGTGTGTGTGTGTGTGTGTGTGTGTGTGTGTGTGTGTGTGTGTCTACTGCAGCAGCATATTAACTTTGAGTCCTCTGGGGATCAGATGCTCCTCTTCGCTTCAGACCCGGTTCTGCTGATCAGACCCGGTTCTGCTGATCAGACCTCTGACTCCTTCTGGTTCTGGACGCAGGCCCAGGTCTGAAACTTCTGATCATCTGAATCCATTGATCGGTTATGGATACGATTGTCTGATCAGCAGAACTGATTGGTTCTTCAGTTTCTGTTGCAGATTCTCTGTTTGGTGAAAGATTGTTTGTTCAGCAGAACGGCCGTTTATTTTTAGACCAACACACACACACACACACACACACACACACACACACACACACACACACACACACACACACACACACACACACACACTGCCCCGGTCACCCTGACTGTAACTACAGGAGCCTGCAGAGGACACACCATCTGCTGGAGAGGAACAAGAACCTCAGGGTTCCTCCCTCTGCTGCAGAGTCAGAAGTCATCATATCCACCTCAGGAGGTCAAAGGTCATCCCCTTTTGCTCCGCGCACATTCAGTGGAAGGACAGTCATCATCATCACTGTTCATGTCAGGCTGCAGACTCCTGGCGCGAGTTCTGACTGACAGGCTCAAACTTCCTGATGTCCAGGCACAGTCACACCTGATCATGATCAGATCTATGATGGAATTTTCCTGCTATAATTTGAGCACAAATTTCATTTTGAAAGCAGAACTTAATGTCATTCTCCTCAAAACCTGCAACGCTTGTACTCAAAACTTCTCCTCGCAGTCACACTCTACTCAGACTCTGCTTGCTTACGAAACATGAAACTGCCTTTTGGTACACTCACCTGGCAACCTCTCAGCCAATAGGATGGAAGTGTTGTGCTGGATGGGTTTGTTCCCTTCTCGCATGTGAGCCTGTGTGGCTGCTATCAATTGTAGCAACCTGCACCACCCACTGGATATAGGGAGACGGGTGGGTAAACAAAATCCTGCATAAGATCAGTAGCTATTAATGATCAGTAGTTGTTAGCGATCAGTAGTTGTTAGCGATCAGTAGTTGTTAGCGATCAGTAGCACACTGCTGGCAGATCTTTAGTATAAGGGAACAGAAAGCTGACATTGTTTCTCCCTACATCCGGTGGGTGGCACGGGTTGCTATAATCGATAGCAGGCTCACCTGCTAGAAGGAAACAAACACACCCAGTGCAACACATTCTATTGGGTTGCCAGGCGATTGTCCCAAATGGCATTTCCAAAAGCAAGCAGAGACTAAGTGTGATCGCAAAGAGAAATTTGGAGAAGATAGACATAAAGTCCTGCTTTCAAAATGAAAATGTGTGCACTTGGATTATGGCAGGAAAATTCCATATTGATCCAGATATTGTGTCTGCCAGACTGCGGTCAGGCTGGAAAGCTCGTCCTCTTCCTGTTTGTCTCCTTCCTGTTTGCTTCCAGTGTATTTTCCTGTCACAGACGTTGGCGCTCTGATTGGTCTTCCTCAGTGGAACGATGACACCTGAACTCCTGATCAGTCAAATCAGAAAAAGATTGGTCAGAGAAAAGGATCTGACAGGATCTGATGGAGTTCTTTACTCATTCCCTGAGGGAACCAGAACCGGAACAAGGACCAGGGCCCATCTGGAAAAGATGGTAGACTACAGGAGGAAACCAGAAATCAGCAGGAAGTTGGACTGCAACGTTCAAGGAACAGAAGCAGTGTCGCGGAGCGGGTGGTGAAACGTTCCCACAGCGCCCCTGAACGTTCCCACAGCGCTCCTGAACGTTCCCACAGCGCTCCTGAACGCTGCAGTCTGATGTTAGGAATCACAAGGGAGAATTTACTTTCATTTTTGGGAATATTGTTGTTTCTCAGATAGAGTTCTTCAGGTCCGGTCCGGTTCCACTAAACCCAAACATGAAGAACTGACGGAAAGTTCTGATCAGATTCCTGACAAACGAAAATCAGGACTGGAAAATTCTACTTCCTGTAGAACCAAGCAGGACACTGCTATCGGGTTTGGTTCTGGTTCTTCTTGGTTCTGGTTCTGTTTGGTTTTGGTTCTTCTTGGTTCTGGTTTTGTTTGGTTCTGGTTCCGATCAGAACAAACTCAGTTTCTTCAGAACCGGGTCAGAACCACATTTACATAGTTTAAGGAACCAAGAATCAAATAAATTATGGTTCTTCTCTTGGACTCGTTTCTCTAGGACCCAGTAGAAACCTTGAGTATCGGAACCGGAGGAACTTTCCTGGCCGGGTTCCGAACAGAACCATCGCTCTCTCTGGGTTCTGCTAGAGTTCTGTTGGGCCGCTCACCTGGACTTGGTACATGGTTCTGTCTGCAGCCGCCAGCGGTCCACTTTAACACGGTTCTGCTGCCCCGAACCGCCGCCTGTCCGACCCGAACCTCCCTGACTTCTGGAGAGGAATGATGCCGTCTTCAATTCCGTTCCGGTCCCGGTCCCGGTCCCGGTCCGCTCACCGCGCTGGTCCCGGTCCCACCGTGGTGTCGCTGTGTTCCAGTTCCAGTTCTTGGTTCGGTTCGGCTCCGCGGCGGCTCTGGGCTCCTCGGTGTCCGAACTTCTTGTCGCTCCGCTCAGCTGGAGGCGGAGATGAAATAAACCGAGCGGAGCCGAACTTGGCCGAGCAGTTCCGAGGGCTGTTGATCCAACTTCCCTGGAGATTTTCATAATAAAAGCCTCTCGAGGAGCAGCTGATCCTGGTTCTGGTCCACAGTAGAGGTGGATTCTCCGGGTTTGGGTCAACGGTTCTGGTGACAGGTTCTGGTCCGAATGAGGAGAACCACCGAGAGTAACATGTCGATGTTCTGGTTTCTGGTTCCGAACAGATCCAGAGACCTGAACATGGTTTGGTTTTCGCCGAACGGAACCGAGGTTCTGTTGCCGGGATGTTCTTCTCATGTCAGTCAAATATGAATGAAAACTATCTGGACCTTGAACAGGCTCGTGCAGAGGGGGGGGCAGAGGGGCTTGAGCCCCCTGGCTTTTATCCGTGATGTTTTTATTTATTAGTTTTTATTTATATGTACGTCAGAAGGCCTGCTTACGCCCCTCAGCAATAACATTTAGCTAAATATAAAAGAGCTAAATTTATATTTAGCTCATTTATATCAAGATGGTTCTTTAAACTTTTAAACATTAAATGTCCTAATTAAATCCAAAGTGCATATTTTTATTTTTCTCTGTTGAATGCATTAAATAAAATGTAATAACATTGTCATTCTCCATAAATGATGCTACAGGTTTAGATTTATGGTGTTACAATTAAACCATTAATAGGGCCCCTGAGTGTCTGGAGGCCCCTGAGTGTATGGGGGCCCCTGAGTGTCTGGGGGCCCCTGAGTGTCTGGAGGCCCCTGAATGTCTGGAGGCCCCTGAGTGTCTGGAGGCCCCTGAGTGTCTGGAGGCCCCTGAATGAACAGTGTCTGCCCAGCTGACTTTCTTGGGAGGATTTTGTTTTAATCTAAAGGGGCCCAGAAAATCTTTGGGAATCCCTGTTCCAGAGGTTAAATAGATATCAGAGCTTTATTAGTAAAACTTTGGGCCCCTCCAAAGGTCTCTGCACGGCTCTGACCTTGAATCGGCCCTGTGGTAACGTGACCTCCTTTTTCAGTTATTGTCATGTTTTTGTATTTGTTTTGCTGTGATTCCCACGTTTCCCACACAGGGGGCCCAATTAGCTGAGCGGCAGCGAGGGGCCGCCAGAGGAGGCGCTGTGGCCCTAGGGGTCACTGGCCCCCGGACCTCGTCCCCTCCCTTAGTTTCCAGCTTTTTTCCACAAACGTTTTATTGACTCTCAGCGAAACGTTGTGCATATTTTTGGCCCTGCATGTTTTGTGACTTGGTTGTAATAAATGAACTTTTCCCGCCATTATGTTGGATTTTTCCAGGTCGACCCGAACCGAACCAGCTGAGGCGATATTGACTGAGAGGCAGATTTACCTGAAGTTAGTTAAGGGCACAGCGCCCTCTGCTGTTGGGGTTCTGGAGGTGCAGTTCCAGGTAACGGGTCGCAAATGGGGACGGCCTCCAGAACCAGAACCAGAATTCTCTGGACCTGACTAATGTAGCAATGTTTAGGTTGTAGAATCCCACTTGCTTTATGCATCAGTGCAGCGGGGAAACAGCGCCCCCTCTCTGTGTACTCAGCATAGAAAAGTGTTAGCAAAACATAGATCATCATTTTTATCAAGTGGAGAGTAATGAAAACTTACTAGATGTTTTCTTGGCTCAAACGTTTGTACTTCTTGTTCCTTTAATGCTATAAAACATTCTATGTGCTAAAGCTAAATGCTAACGTAACGCTCTGTTGCAGTGAGATGCATGATTGAGATGACTTGGGCCGGCCCGGTACAGAGGAGTGCAGCAGAACCCGGTTTCAGTGAAGTGATCTGATATGGACCCGGTCTGAGTTTCAACAAGTCCAAAACTCAAACTGACCAAATGTGTAATTTAATGAACAATTTATAGACTCATATTTCAAAGTTTTTATTTGGAAGAAACAAGAAGTGAAGAAGATCTGGGTCGGTTCCGACCCAAACCTTGCTGGTACAAAAATGATTGAAGAAGACATGAAGCATAGATAGAAAACACTGGGTTTAATATTGAACACTGAATTAAAATAAGGATTGAAATTAAAAGACACGAGACAGAAAATAAATTCCTGCTGTGGATAAAATGACATAACAAATCCCAGGGCCGGCCCAAGGCATGCGCAAACTAAGGGGCCCCTCAGTGGAGCTGATTTTTTTTTTTTTTGTTAGTAATGATTTCTATGTCGTTATAACAAAAACACAAAATTTCATCATAGACTGATTTGTTTTTGAAATAATAAGAACCAAGATAAAGTTTGTTTTAATGAGTCTTTATAATATAATGTAAAGATAATAAAGCTGCTAACAGAAATGACCTTATGACCCGGACCGGACCGGTCCAGTTCTACAACATTGAAGCTGCGTCTTTGTGTGAAACTGAGTTTAAATGAGTTGATTCTCCTGGTGGATATTTCTCAGGTATTTTGGTTCAAACTGTTTGATCAGGTTTGATATGAATAATTAAAACTCATCAGATTCTGATATTGTCCAGCTAAATGTTGAGACGTCAGGCTGCAGTTGCTGCAGGACGAGCTGCTGCAGCAGGACGAGCCGCTCTCTGCTGCAGCTGATTTGCTGTTTGCTGCTGAGAAAAATCATTTGGAGGCTCAGAACCGACCCGGTACCGGTCCACATTCCAGGGCAGAAAGACTCACCTGGTATAAATTAGATTTTAGCTATTGGAGCTGAAGAGAAATGAATTGAATGTGTTTCTGCAGCGATTGCAGTTTTCTGGCTGATTCCTGGTTCTGACCTTTGACCTGCTGATTTTGGCTCATATGAATTAATTGAGTCTGAAATGTTTCTGAATGTAGCAGCAAAGTCTTTGAGTTGCTAACAGTGAATATTAGCTGTAAATGTTGAGACTGGCCTGGTCTGTCAGTCCAACTGTCTCTGCACAAGGACAGAGATGATGGACATCATGATGGACATCAGATCAGCTTCACATGTCAGTATCGGCTGATCACGATGCCCCAAAATGAAGGAAATCGGCTCCCAGAAATCAACTGGTCAATAATTGTATCTATTATACATGTATGTAATGTAAACAGCCAGAGATGCAATCAGTTCATAGCAGGTGTTTAATCGATCTAATCATCAGACTGCTGATTGCAGCCGGTCCACATTGTTAGCAGAACCAGAGGGCCCCAAAAGCACATTTGGCTTGGGGCCCCATGGAGGCTTGGGCTGGCCCTGACAAATCGGATCAGAACCAGTTTTAATCCGGGACAGTTCTGCAGCTTGACCAGCAGGAGGCGCTGCTAGCAGTCACTCCCTCCAGCAGGATCTCTGCTGCAGCGCCTCCAGGTGTCCCAGGGGGGCACGAGGACCCGAACCCCGACCAGAACCCAAACCTCCGGACCGAGTCCGGACCCCGAGAACCTCCAGAGGGAACAAGACATCTGGACTTCAGCGCCGCTCTGGGTCACACGGACCGCAGTCTGTAGTGGAACTGGACATCCGAGGAGGGCAGCAGGATTCCCAGACCGGCTCGGCTCGGGTCCAGACCGGGTCGGTTCTGCCTGTCTCCAGCTGCAGGTCGAAGTACAGCAGCAGCAGACAGACAAACTGCTTGATCTCGTTGATGGCAAAGTACCGTCCAGGACACATGGACGATCCGGAGCCGAACGGCATCAAGTAGTAGCGCAGCTTCTGTCCCTCTTTGGAGAAATCCGTCTTTTCTCTGCTGTCCTGCACGAAGCGGTCGAACCGGAACGTCTGCAGAGACACGAGGAACACACATTATTTATCTACGTGTGTGTGTGTGTGTTGTACAGACCTGTCACTGGACCTAATTTACTGGTTGCATAATATTGTTTTTAACTTGCATTGTCTCAAAATGAGCTTCATGCAGCACTGAGGATTAAATATAATTTCTTAATTTAGTATCGTTAATTATTTTTCTGTCTTTCTTTGTGCTGCTAATCGATATGTTTTGCTGGATTGGACAGGCCTGTTAGTCGCTATGTGATGCTTTGTGTCCAGAAAACCATTTATTGTGTTCCAATGCAGAATGAGCAGAAATCTGTGACATTAGTAGCGCCTTCATAAGATATATATATGAAATGCGCCTTAAAATAAAGCTGAAAAATCTGGTACAAAAGTCTCCTTGACACAAATCTAGAAGTCTGGTTTCTGTTAGTTCTGTCAAGAAAGGGTGAATTTCTCTTCTGTTGGTCAATCATTTTATTTGAAATATGCTGCATAGTTTGATGGCTGTTATAAATATCACCAAGTTTTACGACCAGAGGGAATTATGCAGGGCTCCAATAACACAATAAAACTGATAAACAGGTGGAGAACAAAACGAGGGTCAGGGTTGGGGTCAGTAGAGTCGAGCAGAGGGAAAAGGGGCATCTGTGATCTGGAACAATGGAACCATAAAATCACCAAATTTAGAGAAAAACGTGTAACATCTTTGCATGCACATCACAGCAAATATTCAATAAAAAAACTCCCACCAGGAACCTGCAATCAATAAAACAATATTTAACTTTAAGAGTCTTAATGACTAAATTATACATAAAATCTGATCAATCTCACAACACTGCTGATGTCAAACAATGTCAAGTAAAAATAGATTCAAATTTAAATGCAGGTTGTATCAAAATAAATAAACCTATACTAGATCAAAGTTCCTGATAGCGATAGCATGGCTAGCTGCTTTCCCCTGGCTCTGATTGGTTGCTTCTGACCCAGCGATGTTATTCTGCAGAACACCTGGAGGGGGCAGAGCAGCTCCATTGATCAGTCTGATGGTCAACAGCCAAAGTTTGAATGTTGAAACTTTTCTTTTTCGTGATGTGCTGCAGCTTTAAGGAGATATTAAACGTGACAGTTCACTTCATCTGTGACATGTTACTCCTGTAGCTCCAACAACCAGAGCAGAACCAACCAGTAGCACCCAGGGAGGCACATATCTTCATCCAGCAGAGGAAGACTCTGGGCGATGCGGTTTTAAGGTGACCTCTGATCCCGTACCTGTGGGTCGTCGTAGACCTCGGGGTCCAGGTGCAGACTCTGAGGGTACAGGGCGATGACGTCTCCCTTCCTGACACCCACCGATCTGTCGGAGTCCAGCCGCAGACTGAAGTCCTCCTGGGCCACCCGGATGTTCATGGAGGCCGAGGACAGGCGGAAGCTCTCGTTGATGGCGCTCTCTGAGGATGAAGACGGCCCGTTATCGACCCGCTTCACCACTGAGCTGAACGTGAACTGGAACGCACCCAGAAAGATGAGTTTGTCCAGCTGCTCTTTGCTGAGCCTGATGTCGCTGCTGGTGCTGAAGTCCACACCGCTGTCCTGCAGGACGTCAATGACCTCCTGGCGGACCACCTTCAACGCCTCCGGCTGACTCATCAGGAAGTAGGCGGCCCAGAAGGTGGCGGGGAGCGTGTTGGCCACTGACGCCCACAGGATAGCGAAGTGATGAGCTGGAGGACAGAAGACAGAAAGAACTGAGACAAACCAGCTCCAGAACCACAAATCTAGTCTGTCTGGAACCCAGGAGGATGTTCCACTGAAACCCAGAGCCTCCTGAGGTTCTGGTTCTGCATGTCATTGATATCACTTATTGGGCCACCAACGTCCTCCGGATCTACCAGCTTTATCCATGTCCTTCAGCTTGTCGTGCTGCTCAAACAGCTCGGCTCGTCTCTGGATGAACTGGGACGTGTTGGTCCACTGGGACATGTGCTGTGGCAGGAAGTAGGAGGTCAGCTTCTGGCGGATGGCCAGGGTCCGCCCCAGCAGCCGGATGGGAATCTGAGCGATGAGGAACGGGAACATGTTGTCGAACTTGTGGAAGTCGTTCCTCAGACGGTCCATCCCTCCGTGGCGGACGCCGGTCGCCGGTCTGCCGTAGATGGTCAGGAAGGTGGCCTCGAACATGACGGAGCAGCAGAACTCGTACAGGCTGCCTCTCCTCCAGTCGCTGGCCCCGTTCAGGTGATCCTGACGGAACACCAGCATCAGGTTACCCATCATGCTCTCTGTCAGCGGCACCAGTGGTCCCCTTGCAGCAGCTGGAAGGAGCGCCTGATCTGCTCCCACAGGCCGGGGAAGGCGGTGCCGAGGACGGGCGGGTAGCCGAAGGTCAGAGGAGCCACCTTATTGGTGAACTCGTGGAAGTCCAGCTGCCGGCCCTGCTTGATGATGCTGGGGTACAGCAGGGGGTCCATGATGAAGGTCATGTATTTACCTGCAGTAGACAGAAGGTCCTGGTTAGTGTGAAACTGAGCCAGATCATGCCATGGGACAAATCTGGGACCCATCTGGGACAATCGAGATCAGAGGTCTTCAACATTGAGGTCTCTTTCCCAAGAGGGTTTGGGGGTACTGTATATTTTAAAAAGTTATGTCTTTAAATAGACAAACCATGATCCATGATGGGTCACCGGGGATGGAGTTTCAGAACCCACCTGCGATCAGGACCGTGAACACGTCCCCATGCTCCCTCCTATGTTCCTCCAGAAACTTGTGAGCGTCCTTCCCGAAGTCCAGAGCCTTCCCGACGAAGGGGATCCAGCCTTTCACCAGTGGAGGCTCGCCTGGCTTCCTGCAACCAAACATTCCCAGATCATTCGTCTGAGTCAGATCCTGGTTGGATGCGAGCCCAGAGCAGCGTGGGAGGAGACGGCAGGATACAGCGGCCGTCTCTCCCACGGTGACAAGTCACCGCTTGAACGTCTTGGAGTTCTGCTGCTGGAACTGAGCGGCTCCACCCTTCATCCTCCTCTGATCCCATCAGAAAACATTTCCTGTTTCCCCCAGGCTGCAGCTCTCCGCTCCTCACAGTCAGCCCAGCTTCTGGTTCTGATCCGGTTCTGATCCAGTGTCTCAGCTGTTGCTCTGAGATTCAGACATTCCTGTAATCCGCTAAGCCGTTCGGATCAGCACTTCTTTGGGTTTTGTGGTTGTTACAGAGCAGGTAGTGAGACCCGATCCAGGACCGGACACGCCCCACAGATTCCCCAGGGCCGATCAATACGTTGATCAGGTCTCTGCTGCAAACTGAAGGCCAACAGGAAGCTGAGAGCAGAACTTCCTGTTCTGACAGGCTTATCAAAATATTCACTAAGATCCTAAACGTTTGTAGCTTCATTAAGGAATCATAAAAAAACGTGTTAAAATGAATATTGCCAGTAATTATTGTTAAGATCAGGAGGTTAAAGCAGCCAATCAGCCGCCGCTGAGTCCATGAGAGGCTCATCAATAATCAATACATATCAAGCCTGGAAACCTGATGCTAATGCTAATGCTAAACGGACTCAATGTTTTCACCTAATCTCTGCTCAGCAGGCGGTTACCACGGCAACGGCTGTGCTTAACGACAAAGAGAGACGGAGAGTAAAAGGTGGTTCAGGTTGATCACCTGTTCAGGTTGATCACCTGTTCAGGTTGATCACCTGTTCAGGTTGATCACCTGTTCAGGTTGTTTCACCTTGTTGACCTTTGATGAGTTTCTGAACGATCAATAAACGATAAACTTGGACTGATGACGTCGTTCGTTTGCAGTAAACATTAGAACAAACGTCAATAGGACAAAATATTGATTAGGTTTTAACAAATGGTTTCTGCCACCATGATTATGTGAAAGGAAATGATTTCAATCCCAGATGCAGAAGGTTTGCCTTTACTTTAACAGAGCTCTTTGGTTCCTCCCATCAGTCTGCAGTTTCTCATACTGAGGTCAAAGTTCAGATCCACCAGAACTGACTGCAACCAGCTTGTGACTGAGAAACCAGTAACCTGCTCCCAGTGCCAGAATCTCACCGTATCATTTCTCTAACTGGTGGATATTTGCAGAGAAATGAGTCAACAGGGTTTCGTTTAGTTTCTGTCTTGCTGTCATGAGGCGGATCTCAGCCGGCTGCTGGGAGAAAAACTGGATGTTGGTCTGAAAAGTTTCAGCTCCTCTGATGTCCAACACGGATCGATGTGCATCAGGGAACGGATGGGAGTCAGAGTCCCATCTGCATGATGTGCAGCGCCAAGTTGAGCAACTCCAGTCTCCACCGGCAACATGAAGGCAACACTTCCTGAAGCCGCAGGGAGACGGGAAAGTAAAACAGTACTTTGTGGATTCAAAACGACAAAAAACAAAGTAAATTTCACCTTTAAAATATTAAATTATTCACAATTTTTTAAATCTTTAAAAAAATCCAAATTTATTTTTAATGAGTAAAATAGAAAAACAATATTTTTGGGGCCAGAATAAACTAATACAGTAATCTGTTGTGAGTTCATGCTCTGTGTTGGTTTTATCTTTGAGCAAAGTGACGTTCATGTATGACTCATTTTATGCACCAGTAAAAAAAAGCAAATATCCATATCCTGAATTTGGAAAAATATTTTATTTGTCTCTAAAGATGGATTCAGTGAATGTGCAAATGAAAATGGTGGATTCAGGTCCTCAAAAAAGGTTGAGAACATCTGTAGCTCTAGATCTGTAGCTCTAGATCTGTAGCTCTAGAGCAGGGGTGGGCACTCCAGGTCCTTGAGGGTCTCCTGCAACTTTTAGATGTATCTCTACTTCAACACACCTGAGTCAAATACTGAGGTCATTAGCAGGTCTCTGGAGAACTTGATTGTATTTAGGAGGTGATTCAGCTGTTGGATCAGGGAGACAACCAAGAGTTGCAGGACACCGGCCCTCGAGGACCAGGAGTGCCCACCCCTGCTCTAGAGCTAGTTGTGTTTGTTGATTCGGACTCTGATTGATAAACAAGGTAAAACTAATGCATTGTTGGCTGAGCTTCTTGACAAATTTTCATGAAATAAATGCATGTACTATAGTGGATGTAAAAAAAAAATGGCACCAATAAAACATAAGGTATGAGTAGAGCTGCCGGTAGCTCCAGAGTGAGGCCGGTAGCTCCAGAGTGCGGCCGGTAGCTCCAGAGAGAGGCCGGTAGCTCCAGAGTGAGGCTGGTAGCTCCAGAGAGAGGCTGGTAGCTCCAGAGAGAGGCTGGTAGCTCCAGAGAGAGGCTGGTAGCTCCAGAGAGCCGCTGGTAGCTCCAGAGAGAGGCTGGTAGCTCCAGAGAGAGGCTGGTAGCTCCAGAGAGCCGCTGGTAGCTCCAGAGTGAGGCTGGTAGCTCCAGAGTGCGGCCGGTAGCTCCAGAGAGAGGCCGGTAGCTCCAGAGTGAGGCTGGTAGCTCCAGAGAGCCGCTGGTAGCTCCAGAGAGAGGCTGGTAGCTCCAGAGAGAGGCTGGTAGCTCCAGAGAGCCGCTGGTAGCTCCAGAGAGCCGCTGGTAGCTCCAGAGAGAGGCCGGTAGCTCCAGAGTGAGGCCGGTAGCTCCAGAGTGAGGCCGGTAGCTCCAGAGTGAGGCCGGTAGCTCCAGAGTGAGGCCGGTAGCTCCAGAGTGAGGCCGGTAGCTCCAGAGAGAGGCCGGTAGCTCCAGAGAGAGGCCGGTAGCTCCAGAGAGAGGCCGGTAGCTCCAGAGAGAGGCCGGTAGCTCCAGAGAGAGGCCGGTAGCTCCAGAGAGAGGCCGGTAGCTCCAGAGTGAGGCCGGTAGCTCCAGAGTGAGGCCGGTAGCTCCAGAGAGAGGCCGGTAGCTCCAGAGTTGAGGCCGGTAGCTCCAGAGTTGAGGCTGGTAGCTCCAGAGTGAGGCTGGTAGCTCCAGAGAGAGGCTGGTAGCTCCAGAGAGAGGCTGGTAGCTCCAGAGTGAGGCTGGTAGCTCCAGAGTGAGGCTGGAAGCTCCAGAGTGAGGCTGGTAGCTCCAGAGTGAGGCTGGTAGCTCCAGAGAGAGGCTGGTAGCTCCAGAGAGCCGCTGGTAGCTCCAGAGTGAGGCTGGTAGTGAGGCTGGTAGCTCCAGAGTGAGGCTGGTAGCTCCAGAGTGAGGCTGGTAGCTCCAGAGTGAGGCTGGTAGCTCCAGAGAGAGGCTGGTAGCTCCAGAGAGAGGCTGGTAGCTCCAGAGAGCCGCTGGTAGCTCCAGAGTGAGGCTGGGTAGCTCCAGAGAGAGGCTGGTAGCTCCAGAGAGCCGCTGGTAGCTCCAGAGAGAGGCTGGTAGCTCCAGAGAGAGGCTGGTAGCTCCAGAGTGAGGCTGGTAGCTCCAGAGTGAGGCTGGTAGCTCCAGAGAGAGGCTGGTAGCTCCAGAGAGCCGCTGGTAGCTCCAGAGTGAGGCTGGTAGCTCCAGAGAGAGGCTGGTAGCTCCAGAGAGAGGCTGGTAGCTCCAGAGTGAGGCTGGTAGCTCCAGAGTGAGGCTGGTAGCTCCAGAGAGAGGCTGGTAGCTCCAGAGAGCCGCTGGTAGCTCCAGAGTGAGGCTGGTAGCTCCAGAGAGAGGCTGGTAGCTCCAGAGAGCGCTGGTAGCTCCAGAGAGAGGCCGGTAGTTCCAGAGTGCGGCCGGTAGCTCCAGAGTGAGGCTGGTAGCTCCAGAGAGAGGCTGGTAGCTCCAGACAGCCGCTGGTAGCTCCAGAGAGAGGCTGGTAGCTCCAGAGAGAGGCTGGTAGCTCCAGAGTGAGGCTGGTAGCTCCAGAGTGAGGCTGGTAGCTCCAGAGAGAGGCTGGTAGCTCCAGAGAGCCGCTGGTAGCTCCAGAGTGAGGCTGGTAGCTCCAGAGAGAGGCTGGTAGCTCCAGAGAGCCGCTGGTAGCTCCAGAGTGAGGCTGGTAGCTCCAGAGAGCCGCTGGTAGCTCCAGAGAGCCGCTGGTAGCTCCAGAGTGAGGCTGGTAGCTCCAGAGAGCCGCTGGTAGCTCCAGAGTGAGGCTGGTAGCTCCAGAGTGAGGCTGGTAGCTCCAGAGAGAGGCTGGTAGCTCCAGAGAGCCGCTGGTAGCTCCAGTGAGGCTGGTAGCTCCAGAGAGCCGCTGGTAGCTCCAGAGAGAGGCTGGTAGCTCCAGAGTGAGGCTGGTAGCTCCAGAGAGCCGCTGGTAGCTCCAGAGTGAGGATGGTAGCTCCAGAGAGAGGCTGGTAGCTCCAGAGTGAGGCTGGTAGCTCCCATGCAAACAAAACTTGCTTTGTTTCTGTTCAGCTGGAGAAAGTTTGGACACATTTGTGTTCTGAGCAGTGACTGGACGGGTCAAAGGTCACCTGGTGACGTCATAACGTAGTGCTCTGGATCATGTGCTATCACGGGTTCCCGGGATGGAGCCTTTCCGGATCGGTTCCGGTCTTGTGCGAAATTCGGTTCCCCTGTGAAAATCTGTTCCCCCTGCGTCGGGAGCGCGCATTACAGCCAGAGAGGCGAAAGAGGATCTGATCATTTTCACGTCGCTTCTGATCGATTTCTCGGTAAAAAACAACTAATACAACCATGTCAATGTTGTAACATTCAGTTTAATTTGCAGCTGTTGTTTAAAAAAATTGTAAAATAAATAAATAAACGAGGTCTTCTGACGCTGTTTTGTGTTATTGTAAACACCAAGAGAATCGCTCTTTTCTCACGTAAGTCTGGCAGAAATAAAAGTCAGTCACCAAACACAGTTTTCCCAACACGTGGTGTGTATGTAAAGGTTTTTGTGAATTTGGAAACAGTTGTTCTTTATTCCCCAAGGTTATGGAGTAAGGAGAGGAAATAATGGATGATTCAGCAGCCTGAAATATTCTGTTCCCCCTCCATAAAATGGGAACAAATTATTTTACCTGCAAATGCTTAACTTTGCCTATTCCTCTCATCATCAACAATAAATCCTGTGATTTTGGTAGCATTTGCTCCTTTTTTGCCAGAGTTATGAGGGGGGAACCAAATATTTTAGCTGTTTTACCTGACTGAAATTATTCGTTCCCCCTCAAAAACATGGAAACAAATGTATTTATCAACAGTAATCATCAACAGCAAACTGGCTGTTGGCAAACAGCCAGTTTGAAAACATTTCATCACTATTTGCTCCATCACCATCTCCACCTGCTGCAGCACCTCCACCTATAATTTCAGTATCATTTTGTTTTAATAATATACTGAAATTATTCCTTTTATTAAAATAAGAGGAAGACGGTGATGGAGCAGGAGGCGGGGATGGAGTCGGTGGAGGGACTGGAGCAGGGGGAGGTGCTGCAGCAGGTGGAGGTGCTGCAGCAGGTGGAAATGGTGATGGAGCAAATAGTGATGAAATGTTTTCAAACTTGCTGTTTGCCAACAGCCAGTTTGCTGTTGATGATTATTGTTGATAATAAATTTGTTTCCATGTTTTTGAGGGGGAACGGATAATTTCAGTCAGGTAAAACAGCTAAAATATTTGGTTCCCCCATAATTCTGGCAAAGTAGGAGCAAATGCTACCAAAATCACAGGATTTATTGTTGATGATGAGAGGAATAAGCAGAGAAAAAATCTTGCTGGTAAGTGCAGTTGTTCCCATTTTATGGAGGGGGAACAGAATATTTTAGCCAGCTGAAATATATGGTTCCCCCCTCATAATTCTGGCAAAAAAGGAGCAAATGCTACCAAATTCACAGTATTTATTGTTGATGATGAGAGGAATAGGCAAAGTTAAGCATTTGCAGGTAAAATAATTGTTCCCATTTTATGGAGGGGGAACGGAATATTTCAGGCTGCTGAATCATCCATTATTTCCTCTCCTTACTCCATAACCTTGGGGAATAAAGAACAACTGTTTCCAAATTCACAAAAACCTTTACATACACACCACGTGTTGGGAAAACTGTTTGGTGACTGACTTTTATTTCTGCCAGACTTACGTGAGAAAAGAGCGATTCTCTTGGTGTTTACAATAACACAAAACAGCGTCAGAAGACCTCGTTTATTTATTTATTTTACAATTTTTTTAAACAACAGCTGCAAATTAAACTGAATGTTACAACATTGACATGGTTGTATTAGTTGTTTTTTTTTTTTTTTTACCGAGAAATCGATCAGAAGCGACGTGAAAATGATCAGATCCTCTTTCGCCTCTCTGGCTGTAATGCGCGCTCCCGACGCAGGGAACAGATTTTCACAGGGGAACCGAATTTCGCACAAGACCGGATCTCTAACCGCGTCATGACGAAATGTGTGACTTCCCCTTTAATTTGATGATGATGATGAAGCGTTTTGGAAAAGTTTCGGATCAGAACAAGCGGCTCAGCCAGGAGCTGACGAAACTCTATCTGAACCCAGATACAGAACCGAACCGGGCCGGAGGGTCAGAACTGACCTGGTTCTGCCGCCGAGGATCCAGAGCAGCAGCCCGAGCAGGAGGCTGATCAGCAGCGGCAGCAGGACGGACATGGTTCCGCTTCGGTCCGGGACGCTGAGCGCCGACCCGACGGAGGGAGGGAGAGGCTCCAGCTGGGCGGGGCCTTCACAATAAGAGCTGTCCCTTCACAATAAGAGCTGTCCCTTCACAATAAGAGCTGCACCTGGTTCTGAACCAGTCGGTCTGGAGGTCCTACAGAACCTCAGCCTCCTAGCAGAACCAGTGGAGGTTCTGTTCACCTGCTGCAGGTGCGTTCAGCTCCAGAACCGATGAATCGGGTCATGAATGAAACCAGGCAGTTTCAGACTGAAGCATTTTATTCACACCGAGGAAGAGGAAGATGATGAAGGTTAACGATTCAGAATTGGTCCAGTGGTTCTGAAGCGGACCGGGTCACACGGCCCGGTTCCAGCAGTTGGTTCTGATGGTTCAGTCCAGACTGGGAATCTATAGATGGACCCCAGAGCAGTAATGCTGGTTTCCATGGAAACCCAGAACAGCAGGCCAAGCCCGGTTCTGTATGATGGAAGGGCTGTGATTGGACAGAGCCTGGAGGAGGCGGGGCTTCTGCTGCACACCTGCTCAGGTAAGCAGCTCAGCAGGAAGCTGCAGGAATGGAGATCAGAGGTCCATCAGGAGGAAATGACCCGGGTCTTTGTTCTGTTGGATCCCGGGAACTCTGGGAACTCTGGGAACGCTGGGAACGCTGGGAACGCTGGGAACCCTGGGAACGCTGGGAACTCTGGGAACCCTGGGAACGCTGGGAACCCTGGGAACGCTGGGAACCCTGGGAACTCTGGGAACCCTGGGAACTCTGGGAACCCTGGGAACGCCGGGGACGCCGGGAACCCTGGGAACGCTGAGAACGCCGGGAACCCTGGGAACGCCGGGAACCCTGGGAACTCTGGGAACGCCGGGAACCCTGGGAACCCTGGGGACGCTGGGAACCCTGGGAACGCTGGGAACGCTGGGAACCCTGGGAACACTGGGAACTCTGGGAACCCTGGGAACGCCGGGGACGCTGAGAACCCTGGGAACCATGGGAACTCTGGGAACGCTGGGAACCCTGGGAACGCTGGGAATGTCAGAGGTGTTTCTGAGAAAAACATTTGGTTGACCTGGATCTTCTGCCGATTCCCAAACTGGTTCCCAGCTTTACAACCCATTAGCGTTCGTTCAGTTGGGTCCAGTTGGGTCAGACGGTTCCGAGCTTACCTGGACAGGCTTGTTCTGGTCGGTTCTGGTTCCAAGGAATTCAGTCAGGTAAAGTGTAAACATGACGACGCTCCGGAGAGCTTCTGTGGGAAAACCCGGATCAGAATATTTGGTCTGGATAAACACTCAACAGGGAAGTTGTTCTGATCCGGTTCTGGTGTCACTGTTCCTGATCAGAAACCTCAGTTCTGCGGTTCGGTCCGTTTGGACAATAAATAGAAAACTTCTGGATTTCTGTTCTGTTTGTCCTGCTCAGAAAGACACCCTGGTTCTGATCCAGCAGCCCATTCTGGTTCTGATGGGTCACCAGTAGAAGGAGCGAGACAGGAAGTTGGCGGCAGCGCCAAGCCAGCTGGACCCGTCCTGGCCCGACCCGACCCGGCTGATCGCCTTGTCCGGGTCTTGAGACGGACTCTCCTCCTCCGGAAGATACTCTGGCAAGTCCAGATTCTGCTCCACCGATACAGAACCGGTCTCTGGAAAATGGACCAGAACCTGCAGAACAAAACAGAACCACCAGGATTACTGCTGACCTGGTCCTTCAGGTTTAGGGAACTACCCTAACCCTAACCCTAAGATATGAGGAATTATTGCCTAAGGCTAAGCTAACTGATTCTAAGCTAGCATTAAGGCTAAGCTAACTAAGTCTAAGCTAGCATTAAGGCTAAGCTAACTAAGTCTAAGCTAGCATTAAGGCTAAGCTAACTAAGTCTAAGCTAGCATTAAGGCTAAGCTAACTGAGACTGAACTAGCATTAAGGCTAAGCTAACTGAGTCTGAACTAGCATTAAGGCTAAGCTAACTGAGCCTGAACTAGCATTAAGGCTAAGCTAAATGAGTCTGAACTAGCATTAAGGCTAAGCTAACTGAGTCTGAACTAGCATTAAGGTTAAGCTAACTGAGTCTGAACTAGCATTAAGGCTAAGCTAACTGAGTCTGAACTAGCATTAAGGCTAAGCTAAATGAGTCTGAACTAGCATTAAGGCTAAGCTAACTGAGTCTGAACTAGCATTAAGGTTAAGCTAACTGAGTCTGAACTAGCATTAAGGCTAAGCTAACTGAGTCTGAACTAGCATTAAGGCTAAGCTAACTGAGTCTGAACTAGCATTAAGGCTACATACAGGCTGTCATTGCTGCCAAATTTCTCCTATGATTAATAATTTCCTCCACATCGGATACAAAGTGTGAAACTCCAGCTGGTGACCCTAACCCTGACCTCATCTCCGTTCTCGTCCTTCACCACCTGCTGAGCCGTCATGACCTCCGTGGCAGCGATGGCCGACGCCAGAGCCTGGAAAACCAAGGCAGAGATCAGGAAGCTCTCTGGGATTAGGACCGATCAGGGAAAACGGTCGGTCTGGATCTTTCCATGCCTTGTGAAATATTTTCCGTTCATCCTGAAAAGCTTCGGTTCTTCCTGAATATTCCGGACAGAACCGTCCTCACCTCAGCTTTCAGGTCCGATCGGATCCGAACGACGCATCTCCTAACGGCCATCTGGAAGGTGAAGCTGATGACGCCTCGGATCTTCAGCAGTGCCTCCTCACACAGACTGCGCCGACCCTGTAGCGGATCAGAACCGGACAGCTGATCAGAACCCTGCAGCGGACCAGAACCGGACAGCAGTGTCTGTGTGCGGACCCACCGGGTCGTCCAGGCCGTGGATCTGCAGGATCACCGTCTTGGCTCTCTTGTTGCTGGACCCCAGGAAGAACTGGGCCTTGCGGCGCGCGCCGCCAGGCGCCGGCCCGGCCGCCTGCGGCTCGTCGGCGCCGGCCGCCGCCTGCAGCAGCTGGTAGATCTCGGAGGCCAGCAGCTTGGTCTCTCCCGGAGTGGTGGACCTGCAGGGAGGACCGCAGAGTTTACCACACACGGTTCTGTTGGACCGAGCCCTTTGGTTCCAGAGGAAGGTCGCTCACTTCTGCATGACGTTCTGCAGGCTCAGCATCATCCCCAGCTCCTCCTTCAGCTTCTCCCTGTTGGCCCGACACTCCGCCAGGTACCGGACCGCCTGCGGAGACCCAGAGCATCTGTCAGAACCAGAAGCGACCCGATACCGGCCGATGAATCCAAAGGTTGGGCTGGGGGGCTCACCAGGAGGGCGCAATAGACCACCTGAGGGTCGGGGTGGTCCAGGAACAGGATGAGGCCCGGCAGGCAGCCGTGGTCCTGGACGATGGCTCTGCGGTTCATCGGGTCGGCCGCCAGGTCCCTCAGCTGGGTCACCACGGCCAGCGGGTCGGGAACCTGGTCGGGCCGGGCCGCCAGCGTTTCGGGCTCGCCGCTCATGGCTGCTGGGGGGGACCTGGAGGAGAAACAAATCCAGGATCAGAACCGGTCTCTGGTGGCTCCGCCTGGTCCACTAGACCTGCTGGATGTTCTGTGTCCTCCCACCCGGTCAGAACCGCTGGCCCAGAGCTGAACAGCTGCATATAAACCAGACCCATCAGAACTCCAGGTCAAATTAAATGGCAACCATTCAGCCATTCAAAGGACTAGGTGGACCTAGCCCCGCCTTCGAGGCACAGCTCCTTCAGACTAGCCAGCAGCAATTAGCAAACAGCTGAGCTCACTATAGGAGCTGCTGCTCAGGGCAGCGTTGGTACAACATTAAAGGGTTAAGAGGAGCCATGTTGAGACGACTTCCTGGAGGTGGAGCTTGAGAATCAGCAGAAGTTTTTAAAGAGACAGAGACCCAATTTCAAGAAAACACATCAGGAAGTCACATTTACTTTGAGAAACTTCAGATCTGGATTCTCCAACTGATGACGCTACGAAATGATTCGTGAGCCTGGAAACAGAACTCTGCTGGACCTGGGTTCAAAGCAGCCAGTTTCTGCAGAACTTCAGAGGATTCCAGAACCTGGTCTATCTGAACGGACCTTATCATTCCTGATGACCAGAACCGGACCGGGACCATTAGAACCGGCATCATGCTGTCAGGATCGAGGTTCTGCATGTGATCCATTTCCGGTTCTAACCTCAGTCCTCAGCAGCAGATGGCCCGGTTCTGGTTTCTTAGGCCGAACCTGAGTCTGACTGGCACCAAACTGTGCAGGTTGGTACCGGATTGTGTTCTGGTTCTGTTCTCCCGAAGGACCGAACCTCTCCATCAGAGGATGCTAATGATGCTAACTCACCGGGCTGTAACGGTCACCGGTACCAGCACTCCGGTCCGGTTCGGTCCTCCCCTGACGTTCGGTTCCTGTTCTGTTCTCCCGGACCGGGTCGAAACGGTTTTGTTTTGGGTTTATTTCCTCTCTTCGGGCCGAACCGTCGGTTCTTCCTGCTAAGGCCAGCGGCGCTACCACGTGGCAGCATGCAGCTCTGTGATTGGCCGCCTGGCCCCAGCGGACCAATCAGTGGCTCTGTTCCTCACAGGCCGTGTCCCCACCCTGATGACGTCAGAGAGCGGCTCCAGGTCCAGTCTGTTTTAGTTGTGATGGCGGAACTGGACCGGTACCAGCACCGGTCTTGAGCGCGCACTGCAGCCAGAAGATCCGTTCATTTCTACGGCGCTTCTGATCGATCGATCTATCGGTAAAATGACTCCAATAACCATGTCGACGTTGTAACTTACAAGATAAACTAGTTCTTGTTTGTTACTCCTGCTTGTCACCAGCAGGGGGCAGCACACACTGGCTGGAAACCCGACCCTGTTCAGCTCCACGGAACCGGTTCCTCACACAGACCAGTCTGGAATCAGTTGCGTTATTGACCGGATCCCGGTTCTGATCAAGTTCTGTCTGGTTAAAAATCAGGTCCGTTTATGGTTCTGATTAGTTTCAGTCCAAATGAAAATTAAATGAGCAGAAATTCAGTTTATGAATAAATATCCAATATTTATTCATAAATATTGGATAAGACGGAGAAGACGGAGAGAACCGGGTCAGAACCAGAACCTTCTGGGTCCCGCGTTGCTTTAGGGTCAGAGGGTTCTGATGCTCAGATGTTCTTCATCACACCGAGGAAG